CTCTCTTGACACATCTTGCGCCCGTCTTATAAATTTGGTCAAACCCCGTTTCTTCATGGCAATTTGGTCAATGTCATCCCCTTCATACGGCCCCCTCTAACATACCATGCAGGTGAGCCTTTTCACCAACACAGGTATTCTGACGGGAGCCTCCATAAACCAAATTCCTTAGCCTATAGGTCGCTAGCTGTGGCAAGCCAGGAGCATGGAAGACACCATGCGGTGACTTGATATTGTTTCCGCATTTCCAAAATACTTGCGGTGGAACGGACAACCGCCGAACCGCGAATCATGAGTTCTGCGTGAGCGACGGACATGGGAAACTTAGGGCCCCAAATGAACCATAGACGTGACCATACCTCACATTGACGGTTCCCATCAATCCTAAGTTTTGAGAAACTGGAGATCACCGGTTTTTACGCATGAACCCCCTTCCATCAAAAAAACAAGCCCCGCTTGAGCGAAGCATTGACCCCACGGCCCGGTGGACTACGGTGCTTTGGGATTGTTTTGGTCGGCACTGGATGAATACCTGACTTGCCCCAGTGCGATCCACCAATCTTCAGCCAAACTGGCCTAGGACAAACCCCCCCTTGATTGAAGGGATTTTTTGAACCTGTCTGGTGGCTGCCCGATTTGGTTTCCTCTTCAATGGGCCAAAGCAAGGATGCGTGGGTGGGTGGGTGGTGGGGGTGGGGATGGGGGTGGGGGTGGGGGTGGGGGTGGGTGTGGGGGTGGGTGTGGGTGTGGGTGTGGGTGTGGGTGTGGGTGTGGGTGTAGGTGTGGGTGTGGGTGAAGGTGTGCGTGTGGGTGTGCGTGTGGGTGTGGGTGTGGGTGTGGGTGTGGGTGTGGGTGTGGGGTGTGGGTGGGGGTGTGGGTGTGGGTGTGGGTGTGGGTGGGTGGGTGGGTGGCAAGATTGAGAGGCACCAGTTTCGGTTTAGATTTTCTATGAGACACGCCCATGATTGAAGCCACAAAGGGACATATCGTTCCATGCGCTTAAGCCTCCTGGGAAAATGAGAAACAATGTCCAGTAGTGACACATTCCCTCTAAAAAACACATTCAACTTTTAAAATACATGTGTAGATATATATATATATATATATTTATACATGTGTGCTGCATGCGTGTCGGATTCAACCAGGTCTGAAGGATCATCTGCTCATCTGCATTTGCTCATGTGTGACTGCACCCACCAAGTACCGACACGTCAAGAAAACATGTACGCGTCTGAATCTGTGTCCTCTGTTCACCGAGCTGTGGTTTGAAGTGCCCGACGCTCCTATGGAGTATCTGAGATGTAGTTGTCGCCGTGTCTCCAGTCCGTTGCCTTCTGTCTGCAAAATTGCAGACGCTGGTCCATCGCGACGCGCGCAGTACAAGTTGTCAGCAGCAGGTTGTATTGCGGACCCTGTAGTCCAAGATTTGCTGTCACTCTGTGAATCGTGGCTGGTGCTATCTTGTACTTGTGTAATGCTTCCAGCTGCTGCTGCTGTTGCTGTCGTTGTGGGGAAGGCCAGACCTTTCCCATGTGTGACTGTGCTCACAGCTCCGCTACCATGTCAAAAAATCGGAGCCACTCTTTCACCCACATTCCTGATGTGAGTATGTCAGCGCGGCACTGTGGCTTTTCCTGACGCAGGGCAATGATACTGTAGGCTCAAGGCCTTGTACAAACATGTAGCGGTTGCTACATGTAACGCAAGCAGCAAGAGAGGCTGTATCTTAACACACATAAATTCACATATATATATATATATGTACATAACTCGGAGCGCATCCGTTTCGGCCCGTTTCGGTCGCCTGGGTTGCGGCGGCTCACAGAGGCGCGGCACCCGGTGGTTTGCTTCAGCTCCCGCGCGTGGCACCCGTCCCGACCGATGAGCTTGGAGGCCGAACTGCTGGGGATCAGCATCTTCACCACCTGGACGTCCAGCCAACCAACCATTTCGGGATTGCAGAGCAACCAAGCAAGCCAGCCAGCAAGCAACCAACCAACCAGCTTTTGATTGAGTTGGAACCCAATTATGTTGTTTGCGGTTTCAAAGGGAAACCAAAAGGAAAACTGCTTGGCCAGTTTGGGGGTCCCCTGAACAGACGCACTCGCCTGAGAAACATCAAACACACGCTTTCTGGTTGGTTTGCAGCGCCTTTGGCACGCATGGTCGGTTTACAGTCCCTAGGTGACTGGTTGGCTTAGAGTCTGTAAATGGTTTCCTGGTTGCTTGGTTGATTGGTTTACAGTCCCAAACCGGTTGGTTAGTTGCTGACAGCTTGCTTTGCACAGTCTATAAATGGTTGGTTCCCTGCTTGCTTGCTTGCTTGCTTGCTTGCTTGCTTGCTTGCTTGCTTGCGTGCGTGCGTGCGTGCTTGCTTGCTTGAGTGGTTCATGTTGCTTGCTTGCTTGCTTGCTTGCTTGCTTGCTTGCTTGCTTGCTTGCTTGCTTGCTTGCTTGCTTGCTTGCTTGCTTGCTTGCTTGCTTGCTTGCTTGCTTGCTTGCTTGCTTGCTTGCTTGCTTGCTTCATGCTTGCTTGCGTGCGTGCTGGCTTGCTTGCTTGCTTGCTTGGTTCATGCTTGCTTGCTTGCTTGCTTGCTTGCTTGCTTGCTTGCTGGCTGGCTGGCTGGCTGGCTTGCTTGCTTGCTTGCTTGCTTGCTTGCACGTTTGGTTGCACGCTTGCTTGCTTGCTTGCTTGCTTGGTTCATGCATGCTTGCTTGCTTGCTCGCTTGCTTGCTTGTTTGCTTGTTTCATGCTTGCTTGCGTGCGTGCTTACTTGCTTGGCTCATGTTGCTTGCTTGCTTGCTTGCTTGCTTGCTTGCTTGCTTGCTTGCTTGCTTGCTTGCTGGCTGGCTGGCTGGCTGGCTTGCTTGCTTGCTTGCTTGCTTCATGCTTGCTTGCGTGCGTGCGTGCTTGCTTGCTTGCTTGCTGGCTGGCTGGCTGGCTGGCTTGCTGGCTGGCTGGCTTGCTTGCTTGCTTGCTGAACAGTTCCTCAACCGTTGGCTAGATGTAAGAAATCCTGGTTACCCGAAAGCCGCACCCGGAAGCACTGGGCCAGGAATCCCCACCATGACGCTGACCGCCCATCAAAATTCACACCCACATAAAGCAACCAACAAATCAGGAACTGTCAAGCAAGCGAGCGAGCGAGCGAGGTGTTCCTTGGGCAGATTTCCCCTGGAACCCCATCTTGGGGGTGCCCCAAAATTGTTTGTTTTCCAGCAAAATTGGTGCTTTCTTCTTGGTTTCCCCCGTAGACCAACCTAAAACAAGCTGCCACCCCCACAAAGGTTGCCAGAAAGTTGTCTCAAAATTGCCGGGTCCATTCTAATACGACATCCTCAAAGTTACCCTCAAGGTGGTTTGAAGGGAAACCGCCGGGGGCCCAAAAGTAAAATTGCTCACTTTGAGGGATCCAGAATTCGGGGACTCCAAAATGGTTGGCTTCTTCTTCTTATTATTATTATTCTCGGATTCTGTTCACCAAGCAAAGGGGCCACCCCCAAAAAGATTATACTCTCCTTGTAAACTTGTTTGCTCTCAGGAAATATGATTGAATACCCCCCCACCAGCCAGTCCCTACCTACATTCGGACCTGTTTTTGGTCGGCGTAGGTTTCAGACAAACGCTGTTCTTCTGACCCTTTGGGTTGAACAAGTTGGAGCCGCACTTTGAGTCAAAACGCTTGTGAAGGGCTTCCCTTAGCGCTGCAAATGGGTATCAAAGCAGGAGCAATGGTGAGTTTCCTGTCCTTTCAAACACACCCCAGAAGAGGCACCGAAACAAAAGACGTCTATCGACTTGCGGAGTATTCTTTCTTATCTATGGGTCCAACCCTGCCGATCTTTCCGCAACCCAAAAAACCAAAGAGCAAAAAGCGGGACGTGTAAAGGCAAGGCTTGCTCAAAGGACCTGGGAATGGGCCCGAATCCTTCCCCTTGAAAACAAAAGCACATGCGGCCATTCGCTCGGGATTTCCCGGTGTCTTTTGAAAACGCCATGACCAGCAGGATAGCTTAAAGGATACATCCGAAAACCACTTTTACGAGGATTTGGATCCTGAAAACTCAATGGCATGTTTGCGATGATTTCAACTGAAACCAAACTTGCTGTTGTCGCCTGTAAGGAACCCTGAATTCTACTGGACAGGTAAACAACAAGAACCTCGTAGGACCAAAACCTCGTCCGCCCTGAGGCCGCAACGAACCGCTGGCCCTTCTGCCGCTGGTTGATGGCCCGCATCTGCGCCAACAGCAAGTCGAGGCAGCTCTCTAGTCCTGGTGAAGCGGGCGACGGCCCGTTCGTGCTGAATGCCAACAAACCACAAAAAGAAAAACAAATGGCTGTGGCTCAAACACCTGGAACCAAAATGGCCCTGTGGTACATGGCAACAAAGACTAAAACCTGCGTAGCCCTGGGAAATGACTGCCGCCCTATGGCAAGCGGGTGGCGCAAGCGAGCGCGCTCAGCGCGCATCCTTTTTCCTTGGCCTAACTCCGGTCGTTGCACAGGAGGCGCGCAACCTCACCGGGAAACTTTCCCACAAGCAAGGGGGTGCTTTTGCCCCCACCCCCGGAAGCGTCTGCCCGGAGACAAGATCTCCTTCGAGCTCATTTTGGGGGTCTGACAAAACTAGGGACCCCATCTGGAACTAGTTCGAAAGCTTCCCATTGACCAGCGACAGAAATAGGGCTCGCACCACGTTCAAGCTTACCCGAGCTTGGCAAGCACCGCGACGATAGTGGGTATCTCCCTGCCAAAGCACTGCTCCCCTCTTGTTCGTTGAGTTGAGTTGTGTGGATTCCTCCAATGGATGGGTTTGTGGGCTCCGTTCATCTGGGGAGCAGAGGCCCTTTCGCAAGGCGACCGCACCTGAGCCACAGTTTATCTTCAACGCCCAAATGACATCGCCTGTCGGTATGTAACATATGTCCTGGCAATTTGGTGAGTCCGCCTCATGGGATCCCCTTTGCACTCCCGCAGACGGCAAATGTTGGGCGCGCTCAGAGGCCGGCGTTGCCCACCCACGGCGCGAACCACAGGCGCTGCTCCGGCAACGGCTCCTCCTCTATGCCGCCACGACTGGACGAGGCCGGGCCGTCCTCGAAAAAGCGTGCAAAGCTGTGTGAACCACCACCCCACCAAAACACTCCAAATGGAAATCGCCCAGGCATTCTGAAGCAGTAGCTCTCCATGTGTTCAAGGATACTTAAAGGGTCCAGGAGGTCTTTTTGAACAGCACAGGTGCTTTCAGCATCAACCAATCTCAGGTTGCCCGCAAAAAGAGCTCCATCCATTTCTGGCGGGGAAAACAGCAAGTTATGTGTGGCATAAAGTCGCAAACCAAAACCTGTCGCGTTGTGATTTCAGCTGCCCATGGCCCAGGGAACGATTCATCCATAGCGCCTTGACTGCATTGCCAAACAAGCACAGCCAGCAACCACTGACCAGCACCCGCAACGGTACCCTGCTGGGTCGCCAAACTTAAAACAGCACCCTGACAAGCGGGAACCACCACAGCACCCTGCTGCATCGCCAAACTTAAAACAGCACCCGGACCAGCAGGAACCACAACAGCACCCTGCTGCATCGCCAAACCTAATTCAGCACCCTGACCGGCACCCGCAACGGCACCCTGCTGCATCGCCAAACCAAACCTAAAACAGCAACATGACCACTCGCCCTGGCACCCTGCGCCAAACAAGCACCGCCGGCAACAGCCACCGCACCACCCACAGCAGCACTCGCAGCAACCCCCTATGGCTTTCCGTTCGCAAAGGGATACCATCCATTCGGCTCCCCCTCTCGAGATTTGGGTGTGAATTTCAATTCGGTACATCATTTCGGTGGACATCATCTTGGTGGGAACTCGGGTCACCAACCACTTGAGCTCAGTGGTTCCTTATGACAACTGGGTATGGGTCAAAACTGAACCACCACCACATAGTCCTTTCCATTTACCGTGCCATTTTGGGGTTGCCCTATGTTTGGCCAGCCATCGTGCCCTCTCCTCCGCAAAGAGATCCGCCAGGTCCGGCGCCAGGCGCCGCGCCTTCCAGCTGGCCGCGCCCAGCGGGTTCTTCGCGCGCGCGGATCCGCCGGATCCGCCGGATCCGGCGGAAGCCGGGGCCGCGTCCTGTCCGGTTGGAAACCCCCGAAAGCCGAAAGTGGAGGGTTGACCAAAGGGCTCCACTTAACCCCAAAAAGAATACCCTTGAGAAAGACGCGCGCATGTTGCCCATGGGCGGCTTTGCGGTTGCTTTTGAACAAACCTCAGAAAGGGTATGCAAAACAGAGACACATATCAGGGCTTCCTATAGATGTCTATGTTAGGCATCACACCACCAAGAGTAAGGTGATGTTGACATATAGGGAGTTCTCTGCAAGGGGCCTACGGGTCGGGGCAGGAGCTGTCTTGCCTTTTCCTCTGATGAGGTGGAGAGCAAAAGGCGCGGATGCCAAATGTGCAGCAAAGTCAAGGTCTAGAAAATTATCAACAATACTACTACCATCCCCTTTGGTTTTTTTCCTTGAGAATTACGGGAAACCCTCGCCTGACGCGCCCAGACGGAGCCATCGGACCACCGGATGAGGTCGTCCACCTGAGTCGAGACATGTCTGGACCGCATGTAAAGAGGTCAAAGGCAATCTCCAAAGGTACGCCCCAAGAAGTTCCTCCAAAAAAAAGGCGCGCGACACCGGCCAACTCTCCCCTGCCCCCATCCCCTCGATCGCCCCTAAAGCCCCCGGCCAGCGTGCCGATGCGCCCGAACCTGGGTCTGCATGGTAACAGAACATGGTCCAGTGAGCAACAAACCTTTTTGGGCAAAAACACGAGCCAAAACAGGATAAGTAAAAGGTACGCAAAGGTGTCCTTTTCAGGGAAAAAGGGAAACTGGCAAAAGGCGACCATGTTTTCTTGTTGCGCCAGGTTAAGCGGGTGTCTTTTCTTGAAAGGTACCCCTCTTTCGTGCCTTTCAAGGGAACCCAAAAGGCAAAAGTCACACTCACTCAGACTGACATGGAAGCTCCCTGAAGGCCTCTGTAAATGGAACCAAGTCTTGCACATTCCTGGGAGCTTCCATGGAATCGCCTGAGGGAGAGTAAAGCTTCCAGGGAACATAGTGAGCTCGTTGCGCATGGCAAGGCCACAAGCGCCGTCGCCTTCACCCACCACCGTCACCACGGAGCCTTGCGCTGTGTGAACACCCGCCCCTCCAGCTTTTGATCCACTTGACTTGACGGATCCGGCAAAAGTGATATATCACTTTGTGCTATATAAAATGGAAAGGAAAGGAAAACCAAAAAGACAAACAGTCGAGAAGCTAAGTCTGGCAAGCCAGTCTGTTGAAATGGGAGCCCATGTTTTGTTCCACCCCTAGTCTCGATCTCTTTTGTGGCAAATTAAAGGTCAATACAGCTTTGGAAAACAAGGCAGTGTGCTTGCCATGTTCGGGATGGTCAAAATCTGAGCGCAATGGCTCACTTTGGGCCCAGCTTTCGGACCGAACCCTTTTCGTGGAATCGGACCCAAGCCGCCACCTTGCGTGTGTCAAATGGATCAAAATCAGCTCATGGCCCATATGGCAATACAAACAAGGGGCAATCAGATTCCGCTGAACACAACTGGTTTGAAGGGAACCGGGACGCAAAAACAATCTTGAGGGCCCACTTTGAGGGACCCAGTCCAAACCGCATCCAGGAAACAGCCACGCCAGGGAAAGGGGCTCTTGGCAGAGTTTTGAGAAGCCTCTGTAAGACTCCGCAAGGGTACCTAATGAGCCGCGGTTTGACGTTTACCTTCCAAACCGAGCCGCCGCTCTGCGCGAGCTCGTACTCCCGGCCCGCGACATCCGTCCAGGCGCCCCCAAAGTCGTCGTTGCCTGAGGCTCGCGCGCAAGAGATGCGGCAAGGTCTGTCACACCCACAAAACCTTGACTATCAGAGAAATCTGTGGGTTCCATGTTAATTTGCAGGGCAACAAGAAAGAAGGGACCACATCCAATGTCGTAACAAAAAGAGGTGAACCCAAAAGAACCATCTATTTGTATTGAATCTCCTTTTGGGAAATGGACCTACTTTATTCGATGTGAAAAGGAAACTTGTGGAGGGTCCCCTTCAGGATGTAAGCTGGGGACCCAAATGCTGTCTCGTGTTTCTTGGACTCAAAGTCTCACTCAAAGCTGGCAAAAGCCCCACTCTTGGTCTACATTGCCCGACTGCCAAGAAGTGGAGATGCCAAAAGAGTTCTTCATTCTTTTCGACTGCCAGGACTCCTGCATGAATTGATGGATGGAGCAAGAGCATCGCCCGGGAAACGTTGATGCCACCAAACATCGGTTCCAATGGCACCGCCCCCAAGCAATCATCCTTGTGTTTGAAAGGAATCCAACACCAGCCATTTCGAGGGCTCCCTCAAAGGCGGCCTTTCTAGGGGCAAAAAGAACAACACTGCCCAGCCCCAACAAGCGGCGGCTCCGCAAGGGCGCAGGCGCCGGGTCTCTGGACCTCTGCCCCACCTGACCGAAGATAAGCCAACTGGTCGCCCCGAATCCTTCCCAATGGAAAATCCATGAATTGACCATTAGTTGTCCCATCCCGAAATCCATGAACCCTTGACTCCCTTCAGCTCTTGCTCCCGACTACTGGATGTGTTGGATCATGGCAATCGTAGTTTTCCGGTAAGCCTCAAAATTCAAAATGTAGAGATATCAACAAAGGCCCCAGCAACACTGGGAGACCAAAACACGAAAAGTTTGCGCCGCATGCTTCCGTCTAACAAACAGAAACACAAAAGGAGATCCCCAGCCTCCCAAAATCATCCACGTGCTGTTTATTATGATTTCAACACCTGAAACAAGAAATGGAAAGAACCCCAAACAAACAATGCCAATTCCCAACAGCCAAAACCCAAACCAGAACACGAGCGTCCCACACCCCCCACGCCTGGCCCCAATCCTCACGCGCCACCCGCGCCACCCGCGCAGCAAAGGCCGCCTCCGCATTGCGCTCCGCAAGGTCTGTGGGCGCGTACACGTAACCTGGACCCCCCATCCGGCAACTAACTCGTTACGCGTGGGGTACAGAAGGGATGGGCATAGAGGAATCTAGTCCAGGGTCACGGTTGTGAGAAATAACCGTTTCTGTGATACCAAAGTGGGCCGTCCCTCGTGATATCATACAACAGTAGCCTAAAACCCTATTTCCCACAATGCCCATAGTGTGGGGGGTCTGTTTCTTCGAATCCGACCTGTGTGGGCCCAAACATGAAAAGAACAGGCTCGGAGTGGGAGAAGTATCGTCCCCCACAGGTTCTTCAAAGGAACTCCCCTAAGAAAAAGAACAGCGCGGAAAGGAAAGGAACTTAACAAGGGAAAGGACAGGGAAAGGAAATACAGGAAATTAACTAAGTAGCGCAAAATAAAAATAAAAAGGGAAAGGAAATGAAAAAGAGAAAAGCAAACAAACAATGTGTGACACCGCGGAACCTCCCAGACCAGTTGGTTCGCTTCCGGTCTGGCTGCTTCCGGCCGAAGGGTCACTCCCCGATTGCGCCGAACTCGCGAGCTCCGCCCCGTCGAGGCGGCCCTTGCCCCTGGCCCGGCGCCGGGCTTTCTCCTGGGAGATGGGAAGCCCAGTTCTCCCGCTGACGTGGTTTTCGACCTGCTGGGAAACCCAACAAGCTGACAGGCTTGTTGATTGCCTCTAACAGACATCCCGATGAAAGCCGACAGGCTTCTCGAAGCTCCAAAAGCCCGGGGAAGGTCGCGTCGCCATCTAGGAGAGTCTTCAGTGGTTGCGATGTTTTTGCGAAGCTGTTCCGGAAATCACAACAGTTGCTTTGCCACCAACGAGCAAACCGCTTGACTTGTTTTGCTTGGCCCTAAGATCAATTCTTTGAGTCCCAAGAGATGCCCCCTTGTTCAACACGAGGCATTCGACACAAAACTTGGGCTCCAAAACGACCAGACCAAAACAGGTTGCAACCTGGTACCATGGTGCAACAAACCAACCGGGGTTATCCAATTCAGACCTTTGCTCTACCCACTGCCTTCACCAGGATAGAAGTTGTATGTGAGGTCTACACACAACATTTGGCTCCAAACAGCTCCCCTCACCATAAGAACAAAACTATCCGCAGTAACTCCAAGCATAGCCATGGTTGCAACCTACCTGCCCAGTATACCAAGTATAACCAAGTATACCCAGTATACCCAGTATGCCCAGTATGCCCAGTATACTTAGTATACCCAGTATACCCAGTATGCCCAGTATACCGCCACGAATGTTTACATATAACAATAACAATTGTTACCTAGTCACACCAATGTGAAGCAACTTGTAACACGTCTTAGTCGCCCTTTCTTTTCACAGCTACCAACCCACAGCCTCCCCGTCTCCGCGCTGATTCACCATTGGACGAGCCCGGTCTTCGTTCGAAGTGATCTGGACCCCTTGAATGGAACCCAAACAAATCAACCAGGGGCGTATTAGTCAACTTGTTTCCCACCAACCAGACCAGGATGGTGCCCTTTTCCGTGTTGCTTGAAGGGGAACCTGGACTTCAAGGACTATGGCTTCAAAAAGATATCGTGGCCAGTTCGGCGTGTCACCCAAGGAGGTTGCGCTTGAAAAGTGTACCGAGCCTCAAAAGAACACCAACGCACACATGCTACGGTGCATCTTCTTCGAGGCCACCCCATATTTTGTGGTTTGAAAGAAAGACCCAAACAAACAAAACTAGATTTGTGTTTGCTGTTTTCTTTCTTTCTTTTTTCCTTTTGTTTTTTGTCTGTGATTGTTTTTTTGGGAGATGGAGGGGGGTGGGGGTGCTCCCTTCCCCATTCGGTGATCCAGATCCGGACATCGACTCGAGTCCTGCGCCATGAGCCGCAGCCGCCGCTCACGGACCTCCTCCAGGTACTCCGCCGGCGGCGCCTCCGGCTACGGGTCGTGGTCGTGGAGAGCCGGTTCCGTTTCGGGGGGAGGGTGGTTGGGAAGTTTGCACCAAATGTGGCGCGCGCGTGCGTGGCGTGTAAGAAACGAGATCTCTTTAAATGAAAGAGATCAATTTAGTGAATGAAGCACAAACGCATCCTCTGTTTTGTTTCGATGCAAGAAGTGTACATATCCATGTGTTCTTTTTTTCCGTTGCTTATGTTTCCTAATTTACGAGATACATCACTGGCGTAGCATCACGCTTTGTAGCAAAATCAATCTAGTAGAAAAGAATAACCGACATGGAATGGAGCGAAATGAAAAGGAAACAGTCACGAAATAGAAACGTCATGGAACAAACAATATTTGGAACACATGAAAGCTAATGGAAGCACAATTGCAAATGTAATAAAGAAATAGCAATGGAAACAAGGCATGACAAGGAATTGGAAAGAAATGGAAAGGACGTGAAAAAGAAAGGAGTGGACATTGCGAAACGAGCACTTTCTCGGCCCGGCCTGGCCTTGGGCACTTCTAGCTAGGAATGGAAAGCAATGGAAAGCAATGGAAAGGAAGGGATGGACAGGAATGGACAGGAATGGACAAGACAGGGAGAGAAAGTCACACAAATGGACAGGAGAGGAAATAGGAAGGAAATGTAAGCAGAGGAATAGAATATAAATTTAATCAAAATAAATATGGAAAGGATTGAAACAAATATGGAACGGAAAGGACATGAAACTGAATCTTAAAGAAATGGAAAGGAACCACGCCGCTTCAAAATTATTGACATGGACACTTGCGAAAGGAGCACTTTTCGGCCCGGGCTGGTCTTGGGCACTTCTAGCTAGGAATGGAAAGGAATGAAAATGAGTGGAAAGAAAGATGGACAGGATTGAGCCGGATATGGAAGGAACGCAAAGCACATGAAAAGGAATTTCAAAGAAATGAAATTGACACCTGCTGCTTCACCATTATTGACATTGACAATTGCGAAACGGGCACTTTTTCTAGCTAAGAATGAAGGGGAATGGAAAGGAGTGGAAAGGAGTGCAAAGGAGTGGAAAGGAATAGAAATAAAGGGAAAGAGAAGCAAAGAAATGGAAAGAAATAGCAAGAAAGTGCAAAGAACATTGAAAAGGAAATGGAAACAAATAGAGAAATGGAATAGACAAGAAACGGAGATGGAAAAGTGCCCAAGGCCAGCCCGGGCCAAATGGCATGAAAGGTAAGGTCTAGCCCATGTCCCAATATTATCCTATCCTAACTCATTCCTATCTCACCGCCGTGATTACTAAGGGAAAGAGGGGTTGCAAGGTAAGGACATGTCCCTTCGTTCATATGATTAATGTTATCTTGCTTTTGTTTAGCTGCAACAGCTATGACTCTGGAATTTCCAAGAAGCATACCAGTAAAAGGACAGGAAAGAGACAGAGAATGAACGCTTTTGGATGCATCTCCCATCTTTGAAGCGCTTACAGTCCTAGCACTAAGATCTTAAGGAATAGAGTTCCTATAAACAAGACACAGCGATAAAACAAGTAAAAAATAAATAGGTGATATTCATGGCGAGACAAAATACAGCTAGTAAATCAAATAGAAAATACTTCTAAATGTAAACCAATGTGTGTGATATTCTGGCAGATGCCCCCCACACAGCGGCTTAAGACCGGGAAGGACAGATATAGAGACATAATATTTATACATTAGGATTTACTTCTTCCTCAGTCGTAAGGTTGTGGCAGCTAGCGAAGCGATGGATAGCTTGTTTTAATATCAGCTCTTGGGATCTCTTACCTATATCCTGGGTAAAAGCGGAGGAAGAAAGGAACTGCTCATTTTGCAATTTCTTTCAAAAGAGTTCTGAAGAGGCGAGTTTCCTTTCCCTCCCTGTCATTCCTTTCCATTTCCATTCCATGTCAATTCCAGTTTAACTTCATTTATTTCCTTTCTATTCGTAGCTAGAAGTGCCGAAGGCCAGCCCGGGCCAAACACGCGCTCGTTTAATTCCATTTCCTTCCTTTCCATTCCTGGCTAGAAGTGCCGAAGGCCAGCCCGGGCCAAACACGTGCTCGTTTCGCAATTTCCCGTGCCAAGAATTTGGACAGGGCGAGTTTCACGTCCATTTCCTCAAAAAATATACCTATATCTTTCCGTCCCTTTCCATGTTCCTTTCACTCCTTTGCATGTGTGTTCCATGTCCATTCCATTTCAAATCCATTTCTTTCTTTCTATTTTGTGTATTTCTGTCTAGTTCTTTTCCTATCCATTTCCTTTCCAATGTTGTTTCCACTTCTTTCCATTTTCTTTCCTTTTTTGTGTTTCCATTTCTTTCCATTCCTTTTCGCTCCTCTCTAATAAAGTGATCAAGGCAAAGCGGAAAAGTTGCTTTTTTTGTGTAAATCTCCCGAACAGAGGTTGAAGGGGTGAGTTTGTTTTCCCTACTTTTCAGTCCTTTCCATGTCCATTCCATTTAATTCTACTTTCAGTCCATTTAATTCCTTTCTTGTCCGATCCGTTTCTTTCCGTTTCTTTGCCATTCCTTCCATGTCCTTTGTATGTCCTTTCTATTCCTAACCTGGTTGATCCTGCCAGTAGCCGTATACTGATCTCACAATTAATCAGCATACTAGATAGAAACAATAGCTGGACAATCTGTCATTTTCCAATTAATGAGAAAACTAGTTGACAAATCAGTCATTGTTTTCTAATGGTTGTATCAGTTGGATACAATAGCTAGAAAACCCATCATGCTTTTCTATGTTCATCATGGGACGCTCAGAAGAGGGCGATGAATCAACAACAAGAAAAACCATGAACAACAAACAAAAACAATCAACAACTAACAAAAACAATCAACAACTCACAACAACAATCAACAACTAACAAAAACAATCAACAACACAAAAACAATCAACAACTAACAAGACATGGACAGGAAAGGGAACGTTTGTGCTTGGCAAGTCGGGGCTCACTGCCGATACAGTTTTGTATAGAATCCATTACCGAGCCTGCCTCGGCTGGATTCCAGGCACGTTGAAGCCCAAATGAAAAGCAAAAGGAAACGAACTGGAAAGGAAATAGAAAAGGAAAACAAATGGAAAGGACATAGAAAGGACATTAAAGGGACATTGCACGGAAATGGAGGAAATAGAAAGGAAATTGGAATAGAAAGGAATGAAAAGGAAATGGAAAGACAATGGAAAGGACATGGAAAGGAAAGGGCACGTTTGTGCTTGGCGGTTCTAGGCTCACTGCTGATAAAGTTTGTATGAAACCAATTACGGAGCCTGCCCCTTTCCATTTGCTTTCCATTCCTTTCTATGTCCAATCCATGCCCATTTCCTTTCCATTTCCTTTCGATTCCCCTTCCATTTCGCTCCCGTTTCCTTTCCATTTCCTTCCGATTCCTTCATTTCTTTTCCATTTCCTCTAAATGTCCTTTCCACGTCCTTTCCATTTTCTTTCCATTTCCTTTCGTTTTATATTTCCTTTCTGTTTCCTTTCCATCCCCTTTCCAGTTCCTTTTCATTTGCGCTTCAAAGTCTCCGGGTCCAGCCGGAATTTAAAAAATAGCAGGAATATCAATCATGTTTTTCTAATTCTTATATTTTGTTCAATGAATGAGAAAAATGGCTGGCAAATCAGTCATTTTATTCCATTTTTAAAATAGCGGGAAAACCAGTCATGTTTTTGCTTTTGTTTTTATATTTTCTAATTAATGAGACAAATTGGCTGGAAAATCAGTCATGTTATTTTTTTGCCTAATTATTTGGAGGAGGCTAGGTTTCCGGAATGTTGGGACCTATTTTTCCTATTTTTCTCATCTTCTTAATGTTTCTTTTATTTCTATTGAATTAGAAAAAATAGCTGTAAAATCAGACACTCCCTTTTCTCCTTCTTACTCTCTCCCTTGTCTCCCTCGCGCGTTCTGTCGTCCTCTCTCCCTCCCTCTGCTCCCCATCCTCCCCATCCCCCCAAGCCTCTCTCTCCTCAATCTCCCTCTCTCTGTGTCTCTCTCTCTCTCTCTTGCTGTCTCTGTTTCTCTGTCTCTTTCTGTCTCCCTGTCTCCTTCCTGTCCACGCCCCTCTACAGCAAAAGGGTACCCTGATTCGAACCTCTCTAGTCTCTCACCTTCTCGCTCTTTCTCTCTCTCTCTCTCTCTCTCTCTCTCTGTCTTTCTGTGTCTCTCTTTCTCAGTCTCTGTCTTTCTCTCTCTCGCTGTCGCTCTCTCTGTCTGTCTCCTTCTCTGTTTCTCTGATTCTGGCGCTCTCTCTGGCTCTGTCTCTGTCTCTCTCTCTCCCTCTCTCTCTCTCTCTCTCTCTCTCTCTCTCTCTCTATCTTTCTCACTCTCTGTGTCTCGCTCTCTCTCTCTCTCTCTCTCTTTCTCTCTCTCTCTCTCTCTCCCTCTCTCTCTCCCGCTCTCTCCCTGTCTCTCTCTCTCTCTCTCTCTCTGCATTGCCCCTGCATGACCCGGAACTGTCATCTCACTACTGGCTTTCCCCTTGATTTCCCCTTCATGTCATTTTCACGTTTCCCATGATGTCCTGGTCGTGTCCCTTCCATGCCGTTCAACCCCCCCTTCATGTCCCTGACACTTTCTCGGTATGTCCGCTTCATTTTCCATGTATGTCCCGTTCTTTCGTCGCGAGTCATTTCCCTACATCTCCCGTCGTGCCGATTGGTTTCCTTGTGCGTTGTTTCCCTTTCCTTCCCCTGTTTTCATTTCTGTTCCTTGCATGTCCCTTTCAGTTCCCCTTTGTTTCCCTTTCATGTCCCGCCGCTTTCCTGTCATGTCGACTTCCTATTTCCTCCCCTCATTTCCTTGCACTTCCTTGCATTTCCCCTTTGCTCCCCAATATTTCCCTCAAAAAAACACGGTTTTCCAGCGTTTTCGAAAGTAGGGCGTCCAGATTTTCGGCAAAAAGAGGCAGGAACCCCAACGCAGCAAAGAGCCGGCAGGGGGAATCGAGCCTGGGACCCCTGTTCGAAGACTACGTTTAGTGGAACGTCATCAAATTGCCGCGTGGTCCTTGGGGGGGGTGGGGGGTCTGCCAGGTACATTCTACGGGAAACCTCCGGCTCAGAAATGCTAGATGTATGGCTCAGTTATTAGAAGAATTAGCTGAAAAATCAGTCGATAAAAATGATGATGAACATGATGGTGAAAAGAATATGATGATGACAATGATGATAAACATGATGATGAAAATAACATTATGATGACAGTGGTGATAAACATAATAACGAAAATTAGGGTTAAATGATGATGAACATGATGATGACAATGATGATTAAACGTATGATTAAAATGGTGATGAACATGACAAACATGATGAGGAACAAATGATAAACGAGAATGATACAAATGATGATGACAATGATAACGAACATGATGATGAAAATGACGATAAACATAATGATGCACATGATAACAAAAATGACGATGGACATGATGATGATCAACATGATTGTACAAATGATGAATCGTGATAAAAATGATGATACACATGATGATACACATGATGATGAAGAGGATGATGAAAATGATGATGAAATTGATGATGAAAATGATGACGAACATGATGATGAACATGATGATAGCAATAATAATAATAATAAGAGAAAAAATAAAAATAACAACATGCTGATGTACATGATTAGAAAAATTAGCTGAACAAGCAGTCAATTAATTAGAAAAATTAGCTGAACAATCAGTCATTTTTTTCTATTTTTTCTACTTTTTCTAATTAAATAGAAAAGCTAGCTGAAAAATCAGTCATTTTTTCTAATTTTCCTACTTTTTCTATTTAATTAGCAGTCATTTGTCTAATTGTCCCCCGGTCTCCGGAATGTTGGGACCTAATTTTCTAATTAATTAGAAAAATAAGAAAAATAAGAAAAAACAGAAAAACAATAGGTCCCAACATCCCGGAGACCCGGGGACAAGAAGAAAAATTAGAAAAAATAGAAAACATTGACTGATTTTTCAGCTAATTTTTCAAATTCAATAGAAAAATTAGAAAAAATAGAAAACAATGACTGATTTTTCAGCTAATTTGTCTAATTAATTTTATAGGAAAATTAGAAAAAAATAGAAAACATATAAAAATTTGAAGAAAAAAATAGGTCCCAACATCCCGGAGACCAGGGGACAAGAAGAAAAAAAAATGACTGATATATTTCAGCTAAGTTTTCTAATTAATTAGAAGAAATAGAAAACATTACTGATTTTTCAGCTAATTATCATCAACATGTTCATCAACATATTCGTTTTACCATCATATTTATCATCATTGTCATCATCATTTCTGCGCGCAACACGTTGTGACACGTTTGGTATAATCTTCCCTCATACGGGGGGGGGGGGTCAGCACTGGAGTCCTGAGAAAGGGGGGTGAGGAAGGGGTTAGCTGGTCTGAGAGGGTTCCACTTCAGATTTTTTCAGGGTTGAGCCTGAGGGACCTGTAGGGAGCACCCCTCGGGAAAGCTCCATTTGAGTCGAGGCCGCCGCGGCTCGCGGCTTTTGGTTTGGGCTGGCTCCGAGTGGAGTGTTTTTCCGGTGAGGTGAAAAAACCTGAGTCAAGTGCATGCGGGCTTGTTTGAGGGGAAGGCCAAGGAACAACAACCGTTTGATGGGGTTTCTGTACCGCATTTCGAGATGACCCACATCCAGAATCAAAACTCAAGATCGATGGGCTACTGAGGGAAGATCAAACACCTAAAAGTCGAGACATCCAGTCGGACCGTGGCAGTGTTCAGAATCAGAGAAAAATCGACGGAACCGGTACATCGGAACTAATCGAAAATCAGCGCCGGTGACCCGGTTGCCCCTCTGGGTTGTTGTGGAATGCATGGGAAATGTCGGCTTCACGTCCTCCCCAAACCAACAATAGACCAGTCGTACATATTGAACCATTCAAGCTGATCCAAAAGGACACCTATCTCCAAAGCCTGAGATAAGAAAATCCCCGCACGAAGGATCTACAATACAGGGTTCAGTGAGCTCGAAACCCCCAAAATGGGCTATGCCCCTGCCTTGACCGTCAGGAAGTCTGGATAGGACTCCTTCGGAGCCAAGCGCTCCCGCTCCTTCTTCTCCTCCTCCTTGCGGAAGTGTCTCAGAGCCTCCTGCACACCCACTGTGTCCTTGTCCTTGCCGTGTCTTCTTTTTGATTCCCAAGAGCGGTTGGATTGGTGGCTTGGATGAAAAAGCCTTGAATAGCCCCTTTATTCTTTACAAGAGCCAGGGGCTCATATCCCCATTCATTCCAAGCCACCAAGGGTTACCTGTTTCTATGGGAGTCACAACGCTTGCTTCGCCACCTGCTGATGAAAACAAAAGAACACATATATAATTGTTGCCGGTGTCTCAAAAAATACAAAAAACATCCAAAAACCTGACCTCTGGCTGAAGAAAGCGGAGAAAAAAGAAAAAGACGTGGCCGGGCATCGGAGCTGGGCTGCGGCTGCGCCTCCCTGCGCCGCAGAAACTGCGCCAGGGGCGGCGCCTGGGTCTCATCCCAGGAGCTCATGCCGTGCCCATCGCGTGCGGGGGGCGCGCGGAGTGCTCGGAGTGCTCGGAGGTCGCGCTGGGAGTTCTTTCGATTGGACTGTGGGCGAAGTCTTTCGCCTTCTCTCGCAAGTGATTTGCAAAATGCCGCTCTGCCCTACAAAAACTGTGGCTTCCCAAAACTTGTGGGGGAAGTCTGGTCTGAAACTTGCAGTGAGAAGACCAGCTCTTGTCTTTCTTGTGGCTGCATCCTCGACAAGTTCAAAGTGCCTGGCGAGCCAGCAATCCGCGTATGGTGATATTTCTTCAACTCAGAACCACCCCCAAGCGTCGCAAGCACCTTTTACAAGAGCCGTTCCTCGCAAGTTGCACCATACCCAACCAGTAGCATACCGTGAAATAATTCCTGGGATGGAAGCCGTATGAGTGGGGAAAGTCCACGTTTCAACTGGTGCGGGATGTTGCCCATCATCCATCGCTTCATGGGCCTCGGGTTCCCGAGTCAACCTGAAACGAAATCCTTCACCCGGCCTGAACGGGAGGTAGCACCCACGGCCAGCATTCGGTCCAAGGTGCCTCCGGATGCAAAAAAGACAGGGTGGTTTAACAAGTGACGAAAGGTTTCTTGGGCCCGTTGAATGGGCTCTAACAAGCGGGTCCCTTTCAGATAGACACCATCCTTTGCAAGTGATCGGAATCTGCGAAGCGTCGTTGAGTCCGGGATTGACTTTGCAGCCCTGGGGCCCCACAAACCCCAAAGGCCCCAAAGCGCATGTGCCTCGAGATATCCGTGAAAAGCAACTATGTCGCCTTGGGGGGAACTCAGGCGTGAAAAAAACGAGCCTCAAGCCTGGCAGGTAAGATCTCCATTCAAAACCTGTTGAAGCGGCTGACCCAAAGCCAATGGAAAAAAACGAAAGGGCGGATATCGGTTGCCCGCTGTCTAACCTTCACTTGCCTGGCGGCATCCGGACCATCACGGCCGCCAATGATCTTATTGAGCAGTAAGTCCAACATTGGAAAAAAGGGGTGTAAATCGCATCGGGGACCCAGTGGCCCACATCATTTACACGGAATGTCCTGTCTGTCAACTAGTTGGGTTCATGTGCCGCATGAGCATGGTCAAAATAACCTTTCGCCCCAGAGGACATGGATTGTGGGGAAACAGAACTTTTGACTGAACCTCGCCTGGAAAGCACACGTTCACCACAGACATGCGCACGTTGCAGCCGGTCAGCCTGAGCATCTGTGCATCTGTGCATCTCTGCATATGTGGTCATGTCGTCATGGCTTCCCTGAATGAGAACATATGTGTGTCGAAATTCGGGTCACGTGGTGAACCCACCCGTAACAACAGAAATCCGTCCCGCTCATTTGTTGTCTCATTCTCATTATCTGAGAGAACCAAAGTCGAACGCCACTCAATTTGGACCTTCCCAGAAGTTTGAAGATGGGGCAAGGAACAGCCGAGATTCAAATCCTGCGGGCAACGCTGAAACAGCATGCTGCCATGGTTCTTACAAATAACGATCGGAGTCCAATTCTTGGACCCTCCCCCGAACCCTTCCCCGACCCCCCACCCCCCCACCCTTCAACGATACCACGAAGACTCTCCAGGGTGTTGCCTTGTTGCGGGAAACCGTCAAACACTCAAGAAGGCTTATAAAACTTTGCTGAAAGTTTATAAACATAATGTGGGCTTATCGCGTAGCAAGTGGAGACTGTTGCTTGGGAAAAAAAACGTGCACTTATTTGAGGCCGTTTTGATGTGGGTTGGGCGTGTGTCATCACTGCGTAGCACTCATTACCTCAATGGCTTGGTTTCTCGATGGCTTCACTGCTGACCATGACCACATCAATGTGGCATTCAAGCGGCACATGCCACCAACACAGCCAGCTCCGTCAACCAGTCCGTCTTCTACCACGAAGCAAGTACCAAGGCGAACATCTTCCAAGGCATCTACCCAAAGGGCATCCCACGTCAGCATGCTCGTCTACGGAGGCTTCCAAGCAATCCAAAGCGGCTACAGAGCGAATGGCCTGTAAAACTAAGCTTTGTCTGTCCAATTTTGATTGCGATCGATGGCCATGCTGTCACCAAACAGAACTGCAATCTGGCTGCTTATCTTCTGACTGCAAAAGTTCCCTCAAAGACAAGCTAAAAAACAAAGAAGGAAACTCTACACCCAGTCCCGGGGTCTCATCCAAACGAGGCAAACAAATTATTGTTGCAATATGTGTTCCCTGGCATACTCAAAACCTCTGTGAAAACCCAGTGTTTTCAAGCAAAGCCAGACTCGAATCTGAAAACGGAATCCGTGTTCGCTTTGTTGCCTTTCAAGCTTCAAAAACGAGACATCGGCTGTTTTATAGACGGTAAAACGAACACAAACACTGTGTTTTACAGTGTGGCATCTGCAAGAAAGTTGCGTGCAGAGTAGAGTTGACACCTTCAACTAGGATATAGGAAGGTAGGTGTGGGGGGGGGGGGGAGAGGGCGGTGTGTCCATATATATATATACTTATTTATTTATACATATATATATATACAAATATGTATATTAATATTTCGAACGGACAGGGGAGCTGCCAAAACCGTGTTTCTGGGGCAACACAGGCCCGTGCACCTGCATTCTCCGCATCCACCGGCCAAAACAACATGCCGAGCTGGCGCTCCCAAACCCCCCCAAATGGAGGCTAAGCTCCCCCAAACTCGAGCTGATTCCGGTATGGCTCAAAGTCAAGAGCCAGGGCAAAGCGCAGGTTTTGGTCCAAAAGTTCCCTTTACCGAAGTGCCACTTTGCTACATTTATTTGTCTCGAGCTGATTCGTGAAAAAGGTGGACAGCGAGCAGCTCGTGCCGTAGAAAACCGAAAAGGAAGCCCTCCACCTGTCAGCCAAACTCCTCAAATGTCTCGCAAATGAAAATGAACCGCAGATGGGCAGAACCAAACACCCTGGCAATGGGCCATGGTTGAGATGTGGCTTCGCCCAGAAGGAAAGAAAACGAGCGCGACAAGGACGAAAGGGACCCTGAGCACGAACCGAAAATGCTTCAGGGAAAAGCTCACAGCTCTGCAAGTTGCGACCTCCTGTACTGATTGGTGGTTGCATGATTCCAACCATAGAACTGATATCCACCAAAGAGTCTCCAATCAGCCATCCCCAACGTGCGCGAAAGCTTTTCAGGCGTTGTCTCAAGATGAAATAGCGGACTCCCTTGTTTGAACGGAGAGGCCCTTTTGGCAAGAAACCCGCAAGGCAAACAGGTTGCATGTGTGGTCTGCAGCTTAATTGGCTTGTTCAACATGGGGAGTGTCCCTGATTATGATCCGCAATTGAGGGGACACCATTGATTTTCACCCAGCATTTTTGTTCTGACAAAGCCGTGATGAACTCCATGAAATGTTTCACGCGTCAAGCGAAACTTTCCATAGGATTGGAGCGTCAAACGCACTTCCTGATTCCTCCCCCCCAGTCAAAACAAAGGGACTACTATTACTAATCCAGAGACAAACATGAGACTTCCTGCAAAACTAAGGAAACTAAGAAAACCACAGAAACCAGGGAAGCTGCGAAACAAATGTTCACCCCTTCTTCTCCTCGCCCCCTGGCCGGGGAAAGCCCTGGCGGGGCCCTGGAGGCCCCTACTTTTCGAACTCTGCCATGTTCTTCCCGCCCTTGCCAATCATGCCTCCTGCATCCGTGAACCGGTTCCCAAAAAAATCCGCCCCAACATCGCACCAAGGGAGACCCACCAACAAAAAGAAATATGGGGACCCCGGCACCCTAATAAACCACAGACAATGTTCGACTTGCCTCAAACTACGGGCCCTGGCCCTGTTTGAAGGGAGTTTTCAATTGAGCGACAAGTGCCAGTAACGTATGAATCTCCATTGGACACCAGATGTCGCAGCCATATTGACCGTTCGTAGTGGCGCCAGGGTGGCAAAGAAAGACGCAAATCCGCAAACAGCATGGCCAGTCGATGGTCTGAATTCCGGCGACGGTTTTTGGCGGGCCTTGGCTTTTGCAGTTCAATTGTTTTTTTTTTTCGTGGAGGGATCCCATTTTTGGGGTGGACTCCCTTTGGTGGTTCAGGACATCCAAAACTAAGCAAAAGCACCACCCTCTTTGAGATCCGCCCGAACTCTTCGTTCGGACTGAGAGAAGGTGCTTGCAAAAGGAATCTTGCAGCCGCCTTCGCAAAACGCACAAAGAAGCAACCAAACAAGCAAGGGAACAAACAAATGAACAAGCGAGCAAACGAACAAACAAACAAAACCAACAAACAAACAAACAAGCAAACAAACAACCAAACAAACCAAGCAACCAAGCAAGCAAGCAAGCAAGCAAGCACGCACGCACGCAAGCAAGCACGCGCAAACACAGACACACCCTAAGCGCAGAGCCTTTCTTTGACCTCCCTGACCTTCCGCCACGGTCCTGCGAAGTAGCTTGGCACCTGAGAAAGGCGTCGGTCGGCGTAAGATAGGCCTGTGAGGGGCCTCACTGGCTAGGTGGAGCTTGTGTGTTTGTCGGGGTGTCCCGGTGTCCCTGTTTTGCACATCCTTCAAAACCTTTGGAAGCATAAATAGACTTTTCATGCGGGTCAGTCGTTTTGACGGTACCCCTTTCCTGTGGTGTGTAAAGGCAAACCAAAACGAAACCACCTTTTTAAGGACGCGTTCAACCCTCCAAAAAAGGGGCAGTCGAGCAAGATCATTCAAGGGACCACTATGGCCTGTTTCCTTTTGCTTCCCCCAAAGGGAGCCATCCAGGTTTTTGTTCTGAGCCATATATCAACCTACCTAAAACGTCGCTAAAACGTCCCACGAAGCCGCCGAAGCACCAGCAGTTTGCACCAGAGCGGGCCCTCCACCACCGGCGCCCGCAGTGCCTGGCGCATATGACGCGGAGGTGTCAGCTCTGTTGCCTGTTCGCTTCATTGGCCACAAGTCCAAACTCTCCGCTCGCCACTAATCTTCCCCATGAACTCAACTGAGCCATTGAATCAACCCCACAGAGTGTGCAGTGGCGCAGTGTACCCCTCCAAAAAGAATGCCCGTATGAATCACCACGGGCTGGGAGTCGTTGATCCCCTGCCTGAAATCCGCCGACATTGCTCGGCGTGTCGGATACTTACTAGAGGATAGAGGATAACCCCCCCCCGCCCGACGTCTATTACGTAGGTTTTTTTTTGGGGGGGGGGGTGGGGGTCCCCCACGTACCGCGCGGCAATTTGATGACGTTCCACTAAACGTAGTCTTCGGGGAGCCGGTGTCGCAAAACAGGGGTCCCAGGCTCGATTCCCCCTGCCGGCTTTTTTGCTGGCTTGGGCTTCCTGCATCCTTTTGCCGAAAATCCAGAAAAACTCAATGTTTTTGGACGTCCTCTTTGCGAAAACGCTGGAAAAAACGTGTTTTTTTGCGGGAAATACATACATACATACATACATACATACATACATACATACATACATACATACATACATTACATACATACATACATACATACATACATACATACATACATACATACATACATACATACATACATACATACATACATACATACATACATTACATACATTACATACATACATACATACATACATACATACATACATACATACATACATACATACATACATACATACATACATACATACATACATACATACATACATGTACATTACATTACATTACATTACATTACATTACATTACATTACATTACATTACATACATTACATTACATTACATTACATTACATTACATTACATTACATACATACATACATACATACATACATACATACATACATACATACATACATACATACATACATACATACATACATACATACATACATACATACATACATACATACATACATACATACAAACATTACATACATACATACATACATACATACATACATACATACATACATACATACATACATACATACATACATACATACATACATACATACATTACATACATCATACATACATACATGCATACATACATACATTACATACATTACATAAATACATACATTGCATTGCATTACACTACATTACATTACATACGTACATACATACATATACATACATGCATTGCATTTCATTACTTACATACTTACATACATACATACATACATACATACATACATACATACATACATTTACATACATACATTTACATACATACATACATACATACATACATACATACATACATACATACATACATACATACATACATACATACATACATACATACATACATACATACATACATACATACCTACATTACATACATACATACATACATACATACATACATACATACATACATACATACATACATACATAACATACATTACATACATTACATACATTACATACATACATACATACATACATACATACATACATACATACATACATACATACATACATACATACATACATCACATTACATACATACATACATACATACATGCATGCATGCATGCATGCATACATACATATATACATACATACATACATACATACATACATACATACATACATACATACATTACATACATACATACATACATACATACATACATACATACATACATACATACATACATACATACATACATACATACATACATACATTACATACATACATATGTACATGCATGCATACATACGAGAGAGGGAGATTGGGGAGAGAGAGGCTTGGGGGGATGGGGAGGATGGGAGCAGAGGGAGGGAGAGAGGACGACAGAACACACAAGGGAGACAAGGAAGAGAGGAAGAAGGAGAAAAGGGAGAGGACAATGTCGGCGGACTGAGCCGGAGGCTCTAAAGTTTAAGCTCGTTCTACCCCCGTGAACCTAGGCTCCGGGTACCAACCAAAATGGCCAGCCAACAGGGATCCCTCTAAGCACAGTAACACTCCCCACCTGCCGAATTCTAGCGCAGCACATGAACTGACCCAATGCGGGCGCCACGCCTGCAACCTGTCTGCGTCGGAATCTGAGTCGCACTTCTGCCGAGAGTCGTTGGTGACGATGTCTACGGCCAGCTCCTGCATTCACACATCAAAAGATCTGCCGACATGTATGCATATATGCTGCGTATACTATACACATGTGCAACGCATGCACACATAGGCTGTACGTACATACATGCGTATACAGCCACATTGCCGTTTTGAGGGGGACTGACAAGTCATCTTGATTGGGTGCCGCCGGCGGATCAACCGCAAAAACCTTAACAACCATAAACAAGCACAACCAACAACAACCAAACAAACAAACAAACAAACAAACAAACAAACAAACAAACAAACAAACAAACAAACACACAAACAAACAAACAACAAGAACAACAACCAACAACCAACAACCAACAACCAACAACCAACAACCAACAACCAAAAACCAACAACAAAACAAACAACAAACAACAAACAACAAAAAAACAACAAACAACAAAAAACAACAAACAACAAACAACCAACAACCACAACAACAACAACAACAACAACAACGACAACAACGACAACAACGACAACCACGACAACCACGACAACCACGACAACCACGACAACGACGACAACGACAACGACGACGACAACGACAACAACGACCACGTCAACGACAACAACGACAACGACAACGACGACAACAACGACAACGACAACGACGACAACGACAACGACAACGAGACGACGACGACGACGACAACGACAACAACGACAACAACAACCAACAACAACCAACAACAACAACAACAACAACAACAACAACAACAACAACAACAACGACAACAACAACAACAACAACAACGACGACAACAACAACAACAACAACAACAACAACAACAACAACAACAACAACACCAACAACAACAACAACAACAACAACGCACCGTCATGCTGTTAGCGCGCGCGCCAAAAGTCTGGAATCCCACTGGAATGAGCGCGCAACGTGCTGAAATCACTGTTTTTCCTCAGGGATGCAGCGTCACGCCTCCTGGACGTCAAAAAGCCAGCTATTATCTTTGCTGGCCACCAGAAATTCGCGTGGGCAAGCACGCTTCTGCGTGCCTCTCGCATGCTGCCCAGCGCCTGCAAAACAGTGGTGAGACCTGGCTCGCGCTGCAAGCGCCGAGCACTCAATGCATGGATATGTTGCATGAGCGGCGCAGTTCTGCCTAGTTGGTTGGTGCGTCTTAGCGCACGCTTCGTGGAGGAAATTGCACTCTCACACAAGTTGTCACCTGCAACAACTTCAGCCACGTTACCTCCTGGGGTCAAAACACAAGCGGGTCTCTTGCGCACATGGGCTGCTTTCAGCAGCATGCGCCGTTGGTTCTTTGTGCACTTCTTCACTTGCAGCTTCTTCGTCGGCGTCATCTCATCAATGGCGTGTCTGGCCGTACACGCAGGCATCTGTAAACTTTTCCACGCCTGGGCAGGCTGCAGTGAAGGAAGAAGCGAGCCCGAAAAACAGACATGGAGGCAAACATATATACATATACATATCTTCTAGAAAGCAAGAGGGAGCTCCAGATGAAAAGAAAAACGGAGCTCAAGCTTCTCTTTAATATATCCACAGGCGCATATATTTAGATAGACATGTATATATATATATATTATATAACGCCAAAGTAGACTCCAAAAGAG